GGAATGCAAGCTGGTGCAGCCACTCTGGAAAACAGTATGGAGGTTCCTCAAAAAGGTGAAAATAGAGCTACCGTATGACACAGGAATGGGTATTGCTGGATATTTACCCCAAAGGTACAAATGTAGTGATCCGAAGGGCTACGTGCACCCCAATGTTTATAGCAGTAATGTCCACAATAGCCAAACTATGGAAAGAGCCCTCATGTCCATCAACAGATGAATGGATAAAGAAGATGTGGTATATATACACAATGGAATATTATGCAGCCATCAAAAAAACGAAATCTTGCCATTTGTGATGACGTAGATGGAACTGGAGGGGATTATGCTAAGCGAAATAAGTCAATCAGAGAAGGACATGTATCATATGATCTCACTGATATGAGGAATTCTTAATCTCAGGAAACAAACTGAGGGTTGCTGGAGTGGCGGGGGTGGGAGAGACGGGGTGGCTGGGTGATGGACATTGGGGAGGGTATGTGCTAAGGTGAGCGCTGTGAATTGTGAATTGTGTAAGACTGTTGAATCACAGACCTGTACCTCTGAAACAAATAATACATTATGTGTAAAAAAAAAAAGAAATTAGTAGGAAGGGAAAAATGAAGGGGGGAAAATCGGAGGGGGAGACTATGGACTCTGAGAAACAATCTGAGGGTTCTAGAGGGGAGGGTGTTGGGGGGAGTGGTTAGCCTGGTGATGGGTATTAAAGAGGGCATGTTGAATGGAGCACTTGGCGTTCTACGCAAACAATGAATCATGGAACACTACATCAAAAAGTAATAATATAATGTACGGTGAGTAACATAACATAATAAAATTAAATTAAAAAAAGAAAAGAAAAGCAAGATTGTTTTAACACTCAAAAATCAATCAATATAATTCACCATATTAATGGACTAAAGAAAAAACTATATAATCATCTCAACAAATGCAGAATTTTTTTCAAAATCCATCATTTATTTTTGCTAAAACCTCTTAGTGGAGTGGGAAGGAAATGAACACCCTCAAGTGACAGGAAAAAAAGAGATAAAATGTATCCAAAACTCTATGGCATTTACATGAAACTATTAAGACTAATAAGTAGAATGCAAGATTAATACACAAAAATAATTGTGTTTTTATATATGAACAGTGAATAATCAAAAACTGAAGATAAAAAATACAATTTGATCAAAGCATATGAAATATGTAGGGAAAATGTGACAAAATATGTGCAAAACTTGTTCGCGGAAAGCTACAAAACTTAAAGATGACCTAATAAATGGAGAGATAATTTAATATTTATGAACTGAAACACTCAATAGAGTTAAGATGTCCATTCCTCTCCAATTTAATGTATAGATTTAACTCAATCCCAGTCAAAGTTTCAACAGGCTTTTCTTTTCTCTTTTCTTTGCTTTTCATTTTGTAGAAATTGACAAGTTTTTTCTAAAATTCATATGGAAGTGCAAAAGGCCTAGACTAGCTAAAACAACTTTGAAAAAGAACAAAATTAGAAGACTTACATTATCTGAACTTCAAGACTTACTATACAGTAAATAAGACAATAGTGGCAGGATAGACAAATAGATTAATGGAACAAGATAAGAATTCAGAGATAATTGCAAGCAAATATGGCCAGTTGACTTTTGACAAAGATGCACAGGCAACTGAGTAGAGAAAGGGTAGTCTGGAACAACTGTATATCCATATGCTGTCCTCCACACTCCCTCCTCCCACCCCCACAGAGAACCTCTTTGTCCATACTGTTCACTGTATACAAAAGTTAACTCATAGAAGAAAACATAGGAAAAAAAAAAAACTTTGTGTCCTAGGATTAGGCAACGATTTCTTAGATATGACACTAAAAAACAAGAGTCATAGAGGAAAAAAATTGTTTCATTCAATTTTATCAAAACTAAAAACTCTTTGAAACTGTTTGAGAATGAAGAGATAAGCCTCAAACTGGGGAAAATGTGTGCAGATAACTTATCTGATAAAGGACTTGTATCAAGAATATATATATTTCAAAAACCACTCAGAATTCAGTAATAAGAAACCAAAATTCAGTAAATAATAGAGGCAATATTTGAAAAATTATTCACTAAAGAAGATACATGGAGGCAAATGAGCAATTAGACAGATGCTCAATATCATTAGCCATTAAGGAAATGTAAATTAAAGTCACAATGAAATAGCACTGCGTATATATTAGAATGTCTAAGACTAGAAAAACTGAACATACAAAATATTGGCAAAGATGTGCAGCAGCTGACATTCTCACGTAGTTCTGGTGGGAATGTAAAATAGCACAACCATTTTGGAAAATAGTTGGGTGTTTGTTTTTTTTTTTTTTAAGATTGTATTTATTTATTTGAGAAAGAGAGAAAGCACGAGCGGAGGGGAGGGGCAGAGGGAGAGGGAGAAGCAGACTCCCTGCTGAGCAGGGAGCACAAGGAGAGGCTCAATCCCAGGACCTTGGGTGTTTTCTTAAAAAGTAAAATATACACCTACTAATGACATAGTCGTTTTACTCCTACAGCTTTACCCAAGAGACATGAAAGCATATGTCCATCCAAAGGCTTGTCATGAATGTTCATAGCAGCTTTATTTGTAATAGCCAAACCTGGAAACAATCCAAATGCCCATCAATAGATTAATGGATTAAAAACGTGTGGTGTATCCATAAAATGAGGGCATTCACAACTCAGCAATAAAAAAGAATGAATAATTGATACATGCAACAACTTGTTTGAATTTCAAAGTAGTTTTGCTGAGTGAGAGAAGCCAAACATAAAAGAGTACATACTAGATGATTCCATTTATAGGAAATTCTTGGAAGAGCAAACTGATTTATGGGGACCAAGTGCAGATCAGTTGCTTTCTGGGGATTGGTGGGCAGGCACAGTCATGAGGGAGGAAACACAAAGGAGCATTAGAAAAAGTTTAGAGGTGGTGGATATGTCAATTATATACCAAAAATGTGGTTAACATTGAAGTTTACAAGTACTGTGAATAAGGCTGGCTTCTCTATTTCTACCTGCCCACCTAGATTAATGGAGGTGTGTTCTGGGGACAAATTGCTGGAACATGGTGTGCTTTTTGCAGGGAAGTCAGGACCTGGTGGCAAAGAGAGAAGTTTGAAGAGAACCATGTATTGTGTATTCACGATGTATCCAACCCTATGTTAAGCACTTTAAAGGAATTATCCCATTTAATTCTCATAAAATCTCTATGAGGTAGTAGCATTACTCTCATTTTACAGATAAGGAAATGGAGCCTGAGAGGTTGAACCATGTGCTCTAGGTCCAGAGAGCCAGCACTGATGCCCCAAGACTGAACTTCCTGTGCCACCATGGAGTTTGCCTGGCAGCCTTACCTCTTCCTAAAATCTCTGGGATAGGAGAGGGGAATCACTCCCCGGCACATGCTCTTGCTTGCTCTGGCCTCCAACACGGTACTCAGGGACCCAGGGGTACTGGTATTCTTGCATCAAGGGTGGCCGACTGCCCCACTGTGCCTGGGACTGGAAGGGTCCCTGGATTGCAAGATTTTCATTTGAAAACCAGGATGAGTCAGTCACCCTAACTCGGGTTCCACAGAGGCCTGTGCTTCCAGGCTCTGGTTTTCTGGCCCTTGTTTTCATGACATGCCCAGAACATTTTTTTGGACTAAGGCCAGATGGGTGAGATGGTTTCACAGATTAAGGAGAAAGGGAGGCAACATTCTTTTTAATGCTCTTTTATTTTTGTGTTTTCTAATGTCAGGATCACTAGGAAAGATGATTCCAGTCTCTTCAGCCTTCCATTTCCAGTTAGGGGCCTCCCTACACTGGGGGGCTGTGAAGGTAAATGGGGCTTCTGCTTGTACTATGTGGTTGTCACTGAGAGACAGCTTTTATAAATGTAGGTGTAGCCTGACCCCAATGAGTGATGGGCATGGCCCCTCTACTTGTTTGGCTTCTTTTGCCCCAAGTTACCTAGGTTGGGCCCCTGTTTTGGACTTAGGGGCTGCTGTTGGGCTTGGGAGCTCTTGTTCTGAGTTTGGGGTGATGTGGGCTCAGACTTCTTACTAAGGCAAGCACATTCAGGCTTGGGCTCCAGACAGCAGCACTTGGCCTGAATGCAGCACGGGGGCTTCTGCGGGGAGCGTGGAGGCTTCTGCGGGGAGCACGGGGGCTTCTGCGGGCAACATGGGGGTTTCTGCGGGCAGCAAGGAGATTTTGGCGGGCAGCAAGGAGATTTTGGCGGGGAGCACGGGGATTTTGGCTGGTCACACATCTTCTGGAGTTTTGAAGATCCTAGAAAAAAAAAAAAGAACATTCTCAAAAGGAAAGCTGGCTGCCTGCTTTCATTCCCCCTTCTCTTATCCCTAAGTGCATCCATCGTCAGAGCAAAAACTGAGACCGGGCTGAGAGGGCAGGGTTGGACGTCTCAGAGGGCACAAGCCAGTCCCTCAGGTCCATGCCTTTCCATGTGTCAGTGCACCGGTTCCTCATCAGGTGACCATTTTCCAGATGGAAACAGAAAGACCAGAACATGTAAGAAAATTGCCTAAGGTCTCTTAGCTAATTAGGAACAGTGTGATGCTTAGTAGCCTGAGTTTGATTCTAGTGTCAGGCACTTCACAAACATTGTCTCATGAATGACCACAGCCAGCCTAAGAGGTCAGTGTTTTTGCCCATTTTCCATAGGAGGACAACAGGGGCTCAGAGGTCTATGCCAGGTGCTGTAAGGGGATCCAAGCCAGGTTCCATCCCAACTCAGAGCCTATGCTTGGTCTGGTGTCAAATGCAGCACCCAGAGACCCAGGGGCATCAGGAGTCTCACACCTCGTGTGACCACCCATCAGGCCCTTCCCAAAGACACCCCGTTGTTCCCCATCCCTGAGCTTGTGGGAAGTCAGCTGCTGGGGGGCCTTCAGCAACAGGCCTTCCAAAACCCCTGGGTCCTGGGGCAGCAGCAGCTCACTTCACCTCTGGGCTTTAATCGCTTGGTCTGTATAGGGTCAGTGCCAGTGGTGAGGAGGCTGAACAAGACTTTATAGGAGTCCTCAAACGCCAACATTCAGGACCTGTGTAATTTCCTGATTCTTCTAGGAGTGGGAAAATCCAAGACAACCCTGTCTTTGCAACCCACTTTCCTCTCACTCAGGAAATCCAAGTGCTCTGGACCAGCTCCCTAAGCCTCAGCCCTAATATGTGGCCCTGGGGCAGCTCCCCTGCCCCCGTCACTGCCCTCCATGGTTTCTGCCCTGTTTCCCCAATGGCATGAGGATAAAAGCTGCTGTCAAGGCCTCAGAGCGGGACAGAGATTCTGGAAGTGGCCAAGAGTCAGCAGGCAGAGGGACCTGGGGAGTCATCTAGCCTTGGGGCAGACATAGAAGGAAGGGAAATGAGCATGTACCCCCAGCTGGATACATCCCACAGGCCACACAGCCACACTGGGAGGTGCCAGGCCCGTTAGAGCTCTGTTACCCAGGTGGAGGAAGACAGGTAACAACCGACAGCAGACAACTGTTGAGGCAAAGCTGCCACCACCCTCTAACCTCCAGCACCCACAGAGGAGCCTCTGACCCAAGCTGGTTTTTTCAACTGAGCCAATTACTGCTGTAAGCTTTCTGCTCGGCACACCCCCTTCTATACCTGGTGCGTGTGCCTCTGCATGCACCTGTGTGTGTGCTTGTGCCTGACCTTGCAGAAACACAGGCATGAGGAAGGAAGGACTTGAGGTTTCTGACAATGGCCATGCGGCTGGGTCAAGCAGAGACTTCTGTGGACTTGTTCATCATACTCTAACGCCAGAGGACGCGTGACCAGCTCACAAGGTGCTTGTTTCTGCACTGGCCTCAGTACTTCCTGCCCATAGTGTTCTCCATTTCATTCCTGCCCTGCTATCCTGCCACTCCCTCCCAGCCCTGCTCTAAACACTCCACCTGATGCTTAGAAAGCTGTATCTTTCATCTGTGTTCTGAGGATGGGGTGACTCCGTCTCCCTAAAAATCCCCCTCACACCAAAGACTTCCTGAGGGTTACCAGAGTGGGACAGAAAGCTGTATCATCCCCTCCCTGCCATAGAAGCCTGCTTCTGTTCACTGAAGATGTGCAGGATTCTCAAATCAGGTGGTTCCTGAAGGATACCTGTCAGACGACCTCCTTGGCTACAAACCCAGGGCCTTGGCTGCCTCGGATGCTAGGTGTCAGGCTCTCAGCCTCAGCTCTTTACATCTGCAGATCCACTTCAGTCAGCTCATGTGTGTAAGCCATATCCCACTGAGCCAGGAGTGGCTGACACCTCCACCCACTGAAAACAGTAACTTTCAAAGTGACAAGCTGTGTGCTGCCCCAGCCCAAGCTCTCAGCACCTCAACTTTCGGAACCAGCAGAGCCTCATCTTGAGGTTTCTCTGTGGGAAAGAGCCCCTGGCATATGCCTGAGGAGTCTGTCACTATGCTCCTTGCTGCTGTCTGAGGGACAGACTGTGATCACTTGTCTTTGGAGTCCACCATGTTGTGAATCTCCTGAAGTAGAGCAACAGGAGTGAAAGAAATTTGAGGATGATCACCTAGCTAGGACCCCTGCCGCTGGGTCTATACCCTCCACACTCCCAAGTCCTTGGCTGTTTGGCTATAGCATGAACTGGGTCAGCAGCAGATTCTCACCTGCTCAGGGAAAGTGACTGCTGGGGTGGGGTGTTAGCCTCAATTCATTTGTGACTCTATGCCTGCCAGTCACTTAGGAATTAATTCTGTCGTTCAGGAAGTTTTCTACTTAGTTTTAAGACAACGACGCTGGACCAGGACTCTTAAGGGGTGGGAGTGGGGACAAGTCATGCAGTCTCTCCTTCCAGGTCAAGAGATGCCAAAAAAAGTAGAGGTGGCAGAGATCTGCCCTGTTGATGCCCTGACTTGCTTGGGAGGGAAAAGGAAGGAGAGAGGCAGAGCAAGGGAGACATACAGAAAATGAACACAGAACAGAGACATCAGCATAAAAATGGGGAAAAAGAGGGGAGTAAAGGGCCATAGGAGTTTTGCTCTCTGCCTCCTTTGCAGCCTTAGAAGCTGTTTGGTGGAAAACCTGTGTGTGCTTGGGCACTTGCAGCGGTGGTGGGGTGTGCACCAGTGCAGGGAGCCTGGTACCCTCATGTCTCCCTGTTGTTTGGGGCCAAACCTAAATCCAGGCTCTGAGAGGTAGAAAGGGAGGAGGGAGTGCCTTTCTCATTTTCGGTCGCTTTTCTCTGTCTGTGACAGTTTTTGCCCCCTTTATGACTTCTCTCTGCCTCTCTGTCTCTCTATATCACTGCTTTTCACTCTCTCTCTCTTTCTCTTGTCTTCTGTGTCTATGGTTTACCTTTCTCCTCCTGAAGGGCAGTGTTCCTGAATTGACAGTTTGGAGCCTCCTGTCTATCTGGAAGGTCAGCTCCTCAGGTTCCATCCTTCCAAGTCCAGCCTGGGCTATGATACAGAAACAATTCTCATCTGGGTCACCAGAGGGCACCCAGAGCTCTAGTCCAGGGGCTCACCTA